GTGACTTTGAGCTAAATACACTCTTGAAAGTTTTCCACAGGGATATGAGGCATTGCCATGCTAAACCATCTGTGCAAACTCACCTTTCTTTATCTTTGTGTAAGAGAAAGACCTCCAGCCTCTTCACTCAGGTATTCCAGACAGAGCAGCCCCTTCCAGGTCAAAGCAGCATTAAATACAAGTACTTAAAGATTTCGATAGTTGGTGCTGCAATGCCTAAGGAGTCCTTGGCCCCAGGAAGGAATTCAGGTGAAACACAGGGTAAAATCTGGTTCTTCATCTGGATTCATAAAAGCTGGTGTTCTAAAATATAGACCATCTAAATTCCAAAAAGTGATCAATATTTCTCCTTCCTTAAGGAGAAGATGCATTTAGCACTTTTGTTATAGTTCCTACACCTGACTAGAAAGGGGGATCAAGATTTTCTCATCCTTGATTCTTGGACTACTTCTGGTTTTAGCTCAATAAGAATTAAAACCAGCATAAAAAGAGTCCTCTGCCTCTCAACCAATATCCAAAGTAGAGCCAAGATCCCCTTTATCTTTGTGGATTAGCAGTCGTCTTCATCTAGGACTTTAGCTTCATGTGAAGGAGCAACCTGAATCATATCATACTCTCTTCATCTGAATTAGTGTAATCTAAATGGATTTACATAAAAATAGGAGCTTTCTGAACCCACATATTCCACACTCTGGCTGATTCCTCTAGTCATTAACTTATTTTTACTGCTAGAAACATTGTGTACATCTACCAGATATGGCTCCTTCAGGATTGTACTAAGTGCCAAATGATCTTATGCAAGAGACACATATGTACGTCCATTCAACAAAGTCGGTGATGCTCCTGAGTGCTCAGAGAAGTCTCTGCTGCCTGGAAGATTAGATGGTGGCTGGAATAGATTTCCTGAATTAACCTCTTAACTGCACTGACTTGTCATTGAATTAAAGTATATACTTTGCCAAAAGTTCTTTCTTAGTGCTTTTTCCCATTGCTCATAGGAAAAATAGAAATAATTAGAGAGTCCTGGTTCCCCTTTTGTCCTTGTTTTCTGTCAGTGTGAGTCCGTGAATGTCAAGTGTTCTTCAATTTATCCTCCTGAAGACAACCAAGCTGAGGCTGCCAAGACTGCAGAATGAAATGCAGTTGCTGCCATATCACAGTCAGTGTAAATGTGTGTGTCCATGTATGTGTGTGTCCGTGTGCATTCACTGTAGTGAGAACTTCTGATTTCACAAAGCAGACTCGGTGTTTGACCATTGCAAAGATAAATAGTTACACCTGTAGAGTGAATGCACAGAGAAGGATATGCTTCCACATTTGTGGCAAAAACACAGGAAATATCTGGATTGATATGTTAGTACTCAAAAGTACCTGCATCTCCAGCAGATTTTTACGTTCTGCTGCTGGTTTGAGGTGCCAATCATGTTTTAGCTCCTATCATGAAAGAAAGTATCACTGGAGGCATTTACCTTTAGAAGCATTCATATATGTGGGCTTTTCATTTGGAAAACTTAAAAGGAAAAATTAAGGGCAAAAATGCGACTTCCCTGGTTTTATGCTCAAATATTCTAGTGAGGCTGAAATTGCAGATGTGCTAAAGGTGTATCCAAAACCTAAGTCACGTAAAAGAGCACACACATGGCTGTGTGTAAGTCCTGGTTTGTCTGCAAATCCTTGGTGTTACACAAATGATACTGGGCAAGAAACACAGTCCTGAAAAATATGGGTGCACCTGGTTACATCAAGCATGTATTTCATAAAACACCAATTCACAGAACTCAAGGGAAACCCTGGTCTTAGCAAAACACTCCAGAATATTAATGGGCATCAAAATTTCTGTCTTAGTGCTGCATCTGACAATCTGTCATTCAGCTGACACTTAGGATTATTTTCACACTGTTTTTAAAGTGATGTAATTATTTCTACTGATATCAACTGTCAGAGGAAGCAAAAATGAATTTCAGCCAGTGTTATTTTTGACTGCCTATGCTGAAATGAAGCAGGAGATACTGTGAAAAACTGTATGTCCTTCGGGTGGCGCCTACTGCAAAGCATTTGCTTTCTTTTCTTACACAGTAGAGCTGAGAGAGGTCCTAGCCTGGCGCTGGCTGGGTGGGCTTTGAGTTCCTGGCTTCTTCTGGTACTGCTGCGCGATGATGTGACCACAGAGCATCAGGGCTCTCTCTTATGCAAAGAGGGGACAGAGAATAGAAAACGAATAGCATCTATTTATAATGCAGTTTCATTTGGTAAGTGTTAGTCATTTGCCTTTCTGGGTTTTGGTTTTATATAGCTACTGAAAAAAAAAAAAAAAGCTGTAAACATATTTTATTAGTTATTAAATTTACTATTATTTTTAATACTGTTGATGTGTACATCCATGAATAAAACAAGTCCTTGCCTAGTCTCACATTTAAAAGAACAGAGAAAACAACAATTTTCTTTCTTTTTCAGGGTGTAGTAGCATGTTTACATTGCCTTAACAGACACTGGCAGGCTAGGGGGGGAGAAACGGGTCTTAGAAAGGCTTTGAAAGCGTAATTACAGTTAGAGATCAAGAGCTGGCACACCTGCTCTGGGGTGTAAGTAGGTGGGCTGTTAGATCTTGGGTCAGATCTGATTTTCAGTAGTGATTTTCACCCAGAAGGACCTGGGATGTGTGGGGAACGTGAGGTGCAAGCATAGTTGGACTCATCTCCCACCCAACCTGCTGGGCCAGCAGAGCCAGCAAAGGATGTTGTAATGTGCTGCTGGATGTGCTCACACCATGCTGCCAACACCTCCAGCTCAAGGGAGTTGAAAGTAGGTTTCTGTCAGAGCTTGGTTTCCTGGTATTGTTTTAGAATTACTTCAGTTTAGACATACTGGTGCTCATCCCTGCCTACAAAGTCTCCTCCTTTTTGTAATCCAGAGCATAAATGTTGTGTCATTGGTATTTATAATATATCATGCGGCAACATGAAAGGTGATATGTACTTCTGAGCAGCTGTGATGTGCCAGAGTACAATGACATACAAGGTTAGCCATAAGTTCACTTATTCGTCAATGTATAAAATCAGTCCCTAGGAAAAGAAAACACATCCAAAATACCAAGGAAAGGAGCACAAGGGCTTTATTATTCAACACGGAAGACTTTATTTACAATTAGACATAAGGATCTCAGAAAGAAGAATTTGAGCTTTATTTTATTTTTATTGAGTTCATTAACATTTCTAACTTTTATCCTGCACTGTTTGAACAAATGTAAATATTTAACTTTAGCCTTGATAACATCAATTAACAATAACTGTAACTGATGCTTTGGACAAAATAATTACTAATTATAATTCAAGTGCAGTCTAGGTGCTGAACATAGTTTAAAAGTCCAAACCTGCATTGAGATCAATGAGATAATACTTATGAACAAATGTATTTGTGTGCATGCAAAACTGGCCCCTGAGACATTTAAAATCATGGCCTGACTTGCTGGATCACTGTGACTGGAGCACCGCATAGCACTAAACAACACTAGTAGCGCAAACACTAGCATGCTAACAGTGGACTTGAAGCCAAAGAAAATGAAGCTGAAATGCTAGTGCATCAAAAATGACCGGAGCTTTGCTGTTACTCCTTTCATTAAAAGATTTCACCGTTAGATTCTGGCACAAAAGACTAGTTTTTTTTATAAAAACTTAGTGTCACATCTTGAACCACAGTGGAGCTGTGCTTATTTCAGAGGAGAAGGTGACTTAATTACTTTAGCTGTCCTCATACTCTTTTGACCAGTCCATAGGACTCTAGAGGTGCCTTCAGTTGTGTCAAACTGTCCCGAGACTAATATAGGAACATAGCAACCTGTATGACACCAGCAATAATGTAGAGTTGAGAAGAAGGTCTTGTTCTTCATTGACTAGCAAGCACCATGAGTCATCAAATGCATGGACTCTTTATGTGAGAGCAGATCTTCCCTTGAGTGTCATGCCTCCTTCACATTTCCTGCCCTGTTACTTTGTGTTTCCAGCTCATGGCTGGAAAAAGAGGGTGTAGCCATGTACCACATAGACCTTGCCCTCAAGAATAATCTCTTGGGAATTCTGTGATTCGTCAGCTCCATTGATAGCTACACAACTTTGTCCACAAAGAACACGGGATTAAAACAAGAGCTTTTTAGTCTGTTGGATTTTCCCCTTTATTTCCAAAGGGTGAGAACACTTTACTAAAGATACCCAGACAAAGATATTGTCCTTTACTAGCAAGACAGACCTTTCCGGTTTAAAGTCCATCGTAGCATTATTTGCAAACACCAGGCTATGAGAAGCTGGCCATGTTTGATTTTCCTTTTTCGTTGCAGCTCTTGTATAAGGGGACAAAGGATTCAGGAAGAAATCTTAGAAAGTGCTGAACTTAGGCTGTTGTTCTGAATTCAGGGAGTCCATGGGAAAAGGAGAAACCCCACAACACTCAATATCTGCCCCATTGACTCTCATTTCTAAGATATGGCATTCAGATTAAATGAAAAAGTAAACCATTTATGCAGATGGTAGTGTTTGCTACCTGTCTACAGGCTGATGCATATCATTAAACAAATGATTGCACAAATTTCCTTGTGGCAGATGGTTTATCAGTGAAGAATTGGGGCTACCTGTTTTCATTTATGTTTTTCAAGAGCAAAGAAGTGGATCCCTCTGATGTTTGATCAGAATCATTATCTCAGTCTTTCTTGTGTCTGGAGCATTCTGCAACATTTTCTCTTGACCTTAAAGGTGACATATCAGATAATTCTCTAAGGGAGGCCTTGGACGAAGTGAGGTTAGGGCAGAGCAGAGGCTGGTGTTCAAGCAAGAGCCAGAAAAAAAAAGCACATGGGAGGCAACAGAAAGATCAGTGGAGCAGGTTGGGAGTTAGGGAGTGGTTCAGCTTACTAAAGAGCTGTGGAGCTAAACATTAATGAGCTCCATCAATATATGAATGACTGCGCTATGTCTGTGAGCCACCTCCACATAAAATGTATAAACCACCTATTTTAGTAAGTCTTTTATTAACTTTGTGTATTACAATTAGTAACTTTACACAACAAACTTCACATTCAATGCAATTAACATCCCTGAATAGAGGACAGAGAGCAGTTCTATTGTAGCAGCTTCCATTCCTTGAAGGAACAGAAAGAAACATTGCAAATAGAGCATCTAGAGCACAGCATGAGCTCAAGGTGTTGTCATTCCCAGTCTGTACTCAGAGACAGAACATCAGCAAACAGCTTTCATTTGTCTTGCAAATCCCAGAGGAAAAAAAGTAGTAAGCTGCATAAATGGCAGAAGGTGGACTGAAATCCAACTGCACCTCAACTTCAGTCTGTTTGAATGTCCTTTAAAATTTGTAACAAGGTTCAAATAATCAAAGTTATTTGAAAGCATAGTTTCCATGGTGGCCTCCTTAGTGATGTCAGAAGTGTGGACCTTTGGAAACATCAGCTTATTTGGGTTAGTGAGTTGGTCTTCTCAAAATGGAGAAGCAAGTTGAATTCCATAGCATATGGACTGACTGTGCCTTGAATCATACCTTTTGTCTCTGAATTTTAACAAGCTGCTTGGCTGAAATTTCAATTGAACATTGACTACCTCTGAAGTCTTTGTTACCTGTAGTGAAATAAAATCAGAATTAAACATGTGATGAGGTAAGTCTTCATCTTACAAATCTTTTTACTACAGCATACTTTTCACCATAATATTAATGTTTCTGCAATTCTTTTAAATCACTCCAAAAATGTGTTTGTTTCCCCAGATGTCAGTGCATTAATCCACCACTTGGTTATTCCACCCATGATGGGAGTATACTTAGTCTTAGTGGGCTAGGTATGTTCAGGAGATCTTTAGACTAACATGACAGTGATGCATGACGGAGAGAAAGAAAGAACCTCAATAAAAACTGTAATTTACAGTGGATTCTCTGAACCCCAGATAGGAGTATGTCCTAGAAGAGCACAGGAATCTGCAGCTGTGTGGCCTCTGTCCCAGAGAAGTACTAGAGGACATTTCTGAACAGTTTAGCAGTCTTGGAAAAAATGTCTGTTTTCATAAACTCACAAAAATCATGTGTTTTGGGATCAAAAAAATTGTTGGTCTTCTGATACAGTTCCCAATACCCACTCCTGAGTGTGTTAAGAGTATCCTGAAAGATTAAGGCTGGGAAGAGAATTTGAAAACATTAGCTAAATTATCTGGATGATTTCCCACAGAAAAACTACTGAATTTACTAGCACTTAAAAAATAAGAGCAGCTAAATAGGTAATGATTCTGAACTTCTTGAAACCCTGAGGAAAAGTTACTGCTGAGGACAGAGCTGCTAGTGCTTACTTACTTATTTTAATTTCTTTGATCTGCATATGAAATAGGAACCCATGAATGCGAGGAACAGCACAGAACCTGCGATCATTAACACCATCTGCAGCACACTCAGCATCTGGACCCGACCGGTGACTTTATTTCTGAACATTTCTGCTTTCGCATCCCCAATAACGGCAGACTGAAACAGTGCAAGAAACATGTCAGTGAAAGGTAAGTATGCAAGCCCTCATTTGCTGAATATGTTCTTGGCATGTGCAAATCACAACATGAGTTTAATTGCCCAGTTTCAGAGCACCAAAACTGAAAAAGCTAGGTCTTTTTTTGTCTTCTTTCTTTTCTTCTTTTTTTTTCTTTTATTTTTAAACTGTGAAGATTAATAGACAGAAAATGTACTAACCTCATTTAGCCAAAGAAGAGGAAAAACATAAGGTTTTTGAACTTTCGATAAAGCTCTGAAATGAGAAAATAAGTACAGCATGTTAACTTTAGTTCGGTGCATAAGCCCAGTCTCTACTTAAAAATTTTTCTTTTCCTCTAACTACATTTCTAACTTCCAGATGTACCTTTTTAGTATAGTTTTGGACTGAAAAGAATAAGCCTACAGTTAATAACAGTCCTTTTACATATTAAACAACCACCTCTTTCTGTCTAGTCTTCCATACGTGGGTAGTCAGAAAGAAGAAAGGCTGGACACAGCTAGGTGTTGGTAGGAGGGTCTGAAGATCTGTGCGGTGTTCACCTGCCAGATGTACAGGATCATGAAATGCACGTCTGTACATGTACATGTGGGCCAATGAAGAGAAAGAAAACAGCTAGAGACCCGTCAACCCTTGTGATAAAATCCATCTAGTGCCAGAGCACACGTAAATTCTCTCTTTTATTACAGAAAATACATTTTACCTTCTAGTTCATCCTCATGGCCCCCATTTGGAGTTTGTAAGAATGTTATTTGTAAGAACATGTTGCCATGTAAGCTTCTGCGGGGATATCAAATGTATGTAAAAATATTTGGGCAGTGCCTTGCTCAAGAAGGCTTGCTCTTTTGCTGAAATTTATGTTATCTGAAAACTCGTGACTAAAATTTTTGCAAGAAAGATGAAAAGGCTGTGGGAAAGTACTTTTATTCTTTCTTTTCCCAGGCATTTCTACTGACACTCTCATAGACAAATCAGCCCTCTTGAAAAGTCTTTAAAAGCAAAGTAATAAAGTACTACTTACTCAATTTTTGTTGCAGGCTTCACAAGGAGGTTTACTTGCAGCCTTTTTGCAAATTGCAGTGTAAAACCAGTGATCTAAAAGCAGAAAAAAAAATCCATATTAATATAAACTTTTTTAATTGGATGCCTAAACCTAGAATATGGACTGTGTCAAAAAGGACTTTGGTATTGTTTTATCCTTATGTTTTGAAGGATTCAATTTTTAAGGAATTTTAGTGTTTCTAAGGATCTCCCATTTCTCATAGAAGTTCTGATTTTGTGGCTTTACCATATTTATTTTTGTAATCTGCCATTAAAACTGAAGGCAAAAATAAGATTAAAAATACTAAATCAGTCATGAAATGTTTCATATAAAAATATGTTTTAGGTTTTTTTCCCAGCAGAAATCAGCTACATTTTGTTTTTCAATAAGAAGGATGTTTAGCTTGCATAGGGCCGAAAACAAACATTTCATATCAGAACAAACATAATAAAACAAAGGTCAGATCTTTTCTTCATTTCCTTCTTTTCCCCTCTGTCCTCCACAAAAACAAGACAGAGTGTGATTCTTGACAATTTTGTATCAGATTTAGGTTGATGTCTCTATTCCAAAGAAAGTGAAACAAAGATTTAACTTCAGATCTCCTCACTGAAGTTACATAGCTTAACTATCAAATTATATAACTAAAAGTATTTTAGTGAGAAATCCTGAATTTTACCTCTTCATCCGAATTCAGAGCAAAATAAAATTTTAGAACCTTAGAATTCATCACACAATTCAGAAAACTTTGGTAAATACACTTAAAGGTAAGAATCTGAATCACTGAAACAGAAGTAAAGGTAAAATTGGAGGCAATCAAAATCATAGCTGTCATAAATTCAGAGCTCTGTTGGACAATCCAAGCCTATATTAGGTCTGTTCTAGACTAGTCTGTTCAGACTTCTAACAATTTACTTGGAAATAAACTGATCTATGTTTATTTCGATTGAGATGGTAATTATACAAAAATAGCTAGTTATAGAAAATGAAAAAAATTAAGTATAGAGGGAACAGAAGAACTTTCACAGAAAATAATTTTCTTAAAGTACTTGAAGGTCAGAGAAAAGCTATAATATACTTCAAAGTTTGCAGTTATTTAATCCCACATTCTCAACAAGGAAAAATCAAAACTTACTTTCCAAACTTTGAAGGTCAGAATGAGACAAAGTTCTGTTCTAAATTTCCCCTGCTAAAACCGTAACTCTTTTGTGAGCAGAACTTGCAAAAGCAAGCATGAAAATATTGCATCTTCTGCTTGTCCCTCTGGTAAAAGGTCTACTCTACTAAAATTAAATTTAAACATCACAAGTTTACTGAGTTACAATTATTAAATATTTGGACTTACAGGCTCTACATCTAGAAACGTCTCATGCTCCTTCTCATTCGGGCTCAGGCCTTCAACATCATGCAATATAGAATCACTTGCATGAAGAAAATGTGGAAGAGAGATAAATACCGGTCTTCCTATTTGAAAAAACACACTCACTTGAATCATTAAGCCTTGTTTCAGTGCTCATCTTCTGCAGCCATTTTCCATGCAAACATAGTTTTTTATACAGACACACAATCCTGATAAAAAATGTTAATAGTCTCAACCCCCCCCAAAAAAAAATCTGAACATTTCTATGATTCTATTGTCATGAGGAAAATTTGCATGGTGAAATAAATTGTAGTTACAAATCCTGCTTGTCTGTGTCTACACTGTGGAGCTGGCAGTGCTCCCAGTTTCACGCTGAGGTGAGGAACTGACCGTCACTGTTTCCCCCACCTTCATGGTCTTGTTTCAATAGAAAGCAAGCCTGAAGGGAACCCATGCTGTCCACTCTGAACCAAATGCAGACTCTGTGTATATTTATTTTATTATATCGATGCTAAACTAAGCCAGTAGTGTCTCTCAGTCTCTGTTTGTGTATTTAGTTGTGTACATACACACACACTCTTACACACACACAGACACACTGTGTGTGTTAATTATCACAAATACAAGGACTGTGACTATCTCTGGCTTTTATATAGTGCCCCCTCCTTTCCTTTCTATACATACATTCCTGCAATTTCAGTATACAGTCTGTACTATCATAATTTTGCATAGCACTATGCAAAATACAGAAATATCATAGTCCTCATTTTGTGAAATGAGGCTGCAAAAATGTGAAAGGTCTCACAAGCAATCTGTGGAAGAATTCACAAATGCAAATGTCCTGGATCTTAGAGTAACACCTCAGCTACAGGACACGTGCTTTTTCCACAGTTAGATGGCTTGTTTGGCAGTACTGTGTCACTACTATACCTCCTTTGCAGGCACTAATATCTAGAACTCCAGCTAATGTGCAGTTCTGTGATATCACTTTATCCGTACAGAAGCAATAATTATCTCCGACTTCAGTAGGTGATGCAAATGCTTCACGAGGAACTGTGAAACGATAGAGTGAAATTCCCTTCACATTCTGCTTGCTCTGGAAAACTCCATAGATCGATCTGAACATAGAAGAGGAGAAACAAGTTTCTGTCATTTGGATTAAAAATCTGAATTCATGGCAATACTTCTTAAGGATCCTCCAACGGTCTCTCTTTTAAAAGAAAAAAGCACTCCAGGGAGCCGATGTCCAGACTCCCTTCACAATGTTCAACAGTTTGTAGGGGTGTTCCTCTGTAATGCAGAATATTCCACACTTTCCCAAAAGGATGTACAAGCTCAGAGGTGAGCACGACAATACACGAAAAGACAGACAAAAATGCTAATACTAATAATTAACAATATACACAAAACTAACAAATTAAGAGCTTTCAAAAAAAACTTCTACACCTAGTGTTATTACAAAATTTTTGAAAGTTTTTGGACTACAGTAGAGATACTTATCAATATAAATCAGCTCTGCTATAGGTTTTTGCTGATCTGATGATACTAATCTAGGCTTTATGATGCAGGCAACATTCTGCATATAACCTTATTCCATTGCGTATGAATCAGAATGCCACTTAAGCTTCTTTTTGCTGATACATTACCAACTGATACAGAGATATGGTTGTTTTGCAATAATGTAACCAGGGCAACAGCCAAAACAAAAGAAGGGCTCTGGCTTTTGCAACGCGAAGAGAACCATTTTCCACGACCCCGCTGCAGCATGACCTTTGGGCAATTCATACTGTCCTTCATTGTTCATTAATTGTGAGAATTAAATTGCCAGAGGGATCTCTCAAACTGTGTGCAATCAATCCAAAGTATCTTATCATTTCTCCTCTGCATAGAATTCCCTTTTCCATGACTTGTGAAATGCTTTCCAGTTTGGGGATACAATTACTTCACAAAAAAAAGAACATTAACTTCATGTAAAAACACTGATCTTTAAAAACAGTCTGCAAAGCAAATGGCCCACTTAAAATCTAGTTAAAAGGAAGCGCCTGTTTCCAGGCAGCAAAATAATAAAGGGGTCGAACCTCCCAAAGTAAATGCACTGTGATGCACTTTAAATCTTTTAACATTGCTTTCAGCGATCCCATTGGATAACTCAGGGACACTGGATAGCCACAGCAGAAGAAGCAGGCTGAAAAGCCACCAGTATGATGTATTAAGCAGGTTTGTTTGTTTGTAAATACAAAAAAATAAAATATGTAAAAATATCCTGTGAGAAAACAATTTTGAGTATCTAGTGGATGACAGTATATCCTGTTCTCCATAGATGATGTTCTGCAGAATGCAGAAGACAGATCTAACTGGGCCCTGCTGTACCTATTGCCTTCTCAGACCAAATAAGACAGGTTATGGGCTGGATCTTGATCTTAGAAGACATCCAAGACTTTGAACCCTGTGGCCCTCAATGTCTTTCATAGATCTGTAACAGCTCACAACAGTGTCAGATATTCCTGAATTATACATCTGTAAATGGCTGAAATAAAATACACCGTAAATAGCTTGCTACTTGTCATAAATAAAAGTGGTAGAATCAGGTTCTGAATCATGAGCACAGCTCACAAATTTACTTGTGTTTAGGTGAAACATTTATGCTGAACTGCCTCAGTGGCCTGAGCCCAAGCAGAGCCACTGCAGCCACCCTCTGAAATGAAAGAGCATTCGGGTGGCACACGCAGGTGTCTACGCAGAGCTGGAGGGGACCAGCCTACCTGCAAATATCAGAGGAGAAGAAGCGCAGTATCTGACCCTTCTTAACAAACGGTGGGAATGATGCTCCATCTGTGAATAAAATAAAATAAGATCTTGAAAGTAATTCCACTTAGAAGATATGATTTAATTTCTAGCTCAATACTCAGCTGTTACTCTCCTATAAATCTGTGAAAAAGGTAAACAAAATGAGTCATTTATAGAGAAAATATTTATGTAAGTTATTGCATAGTGACAGGCACTCCACAGATTGTATTGTTTTTGAAAGCGAGCCAAATTATGGCAGGGTTTTTTTTTTTTTTTTTTTTTCCCCCACAGATGTGAAGCTATATGATCAAGCCCATTAAAAACAGAGGATATAAAATACAACTCTGGTTACTACAAATCCCAATACCTGTTGCTATTGCTTCAAGCTTTATGCAGTGTAAAGACCTAAACCTTTCTAAAGATGCTTGGTTGACCTGCAGTTATGGCACTCAGCACTTACAGGAAACATAGTTTTAGACTTCAAAACTGCCTATTTAATAAAGAGTGCTAAACCTTTTTTTCACCAAAGATTGCTCAAGTGGACCTCTTCTTTGTAAACTGAGATCCTCTCTATAGCTAAGGGAGAGAAGGAAACGCTTCTAGGGTGCAACCATCTCACCCCATGGTAGACATGCAAAATAGGTCAGAGGAACAGCATTTTGGTGGTGTCTTTTTCTTCAGTAGTTATAAAAAGAACACAGCCAGCCAGTTCAGATGCATATTTCTGCATTGCAAGCATCCCGAGGTAAGTAAGAGGACTTTCTGCCATTTTCCCAAACAAGGTGTTGTAACAAACCTTTAACCAGTACATTTGTTACTTCTTGCTACAATTTCTGTTTAGTTTCTTAGTCAGCAGCATAACCAAGGGATTGAAAACATCTGTGATATCTTTGACTCCAGTTGGCAAGAGCAAGAAACCTAAATTACATACTGACATTTGCCCACTGCTGACAGCAGCACTTTTTCTTGAAGAAAATTCAAGACCATCCTAGACATACAGTCTATTTCTAAATCTTGGCAGTGTTGCAGAGTTTGCAAACATGGACTCATATCAAGCACCATACAAGAATACTGCTTAATCTTTTTGTCTAGATGTTTACTGATATTATACATGCTGCACTTCGGTGTGAAAGCTTACAAGATAAGAAGGAATTCTCACACTTAGAAGACTTTTTAATCCTGCTGCTTCTCTAAACACATGGTCTCTCCTGAGCAGTTGCACTGAATGCTCTTCTGTACTGTGCGATAACCTTTGCTAACAACGAAAATCTCCACATTTTCGCTATACTTGAGCACTTAGTCTAGTTATCTGAGTATGTTTATTCCATCAGCTATGGAAGAAAAACCAAAAAGCTGACCCTGAGGAAAAAAGGGCTCAGGCTCCATAAGAAAAAAGGAAAGTCATAGAACCTAAGAAAAAATTGCCTCCTATAAAATTAATTATATCGTTTAAAAAAGAATTAATCCTTCTTGATTCACAGACTTTTGGAAAGTCAGATTCTTGTGATGTGTTTCAAATATTTCAAAATAACTTACCATGTGCTCTGGGTTATAAGGAAAATGACCTATGCCAGGTAAAGAAGCACAGAAAAGAAAAAGAAAAAAATCCCAACCCCCAAACCTGCTTGTTTTGATACTCGCCCACTGAAGGTGTACAGCTCTGCACAAGCCTCCACCATGATATCTGCCAGCCTCAGCTCAACAGATTGTGGTGTCCTCACAGCGATACTTTCACTCATCAAGAAGAAAAATATAACCTTGAACAAATGTATCTTAAACAACTCAACTGTTTTCATATGCATTCCAAAAGCAAATTCTAAAACATTCTTCTCTAGTTTATTCATCCCAAACTAAACTGCTTCTCTTCTTCCTTTTTTACTTGCTAGCGGCCTCCAAACCGTCTGTCTGACAGCCTTCTCCTTTGTCATCTCAATTTCTTTTCATATCTCACTAAAACATTTTTCTGTCCATTCTGATGCATTTAATTTTACTTTTTAACACTCTAACTGAATGTACATTGTTAGAATGCAAAGATAATTTTCAACTGCTATAGCGAAGAAAAAGAATCATAGTTGTATTGTACCATAAAGATAATTAGTAGAAACAGAGACCTGGATTCTTTTCTTACATCTCTTCCACATCTGCTCTAGCTCAAGAGGGTGTGTGTACATGTATATATAAAATAATGTACAATAACATAAAATATATATGTTACAATAGATAGACACACATGCATGTATAGTAGTAGTAGCATGTATACATTCATATTTATATAGACATTTAATACACAGAATACAGAACTGTCAAAGCCCAAGTGAATTAACTTAAATATTGTATCTCATTATTTCCTTGCAATATCGAGAAATGTGTTTGTCATGATTTAACCAGTGATTATTAAACTAATATAATGAATGCTTA